AAAGTCAGCTAACTTGGAGGTTGTCGGCATGACCAAGAAAAATGTGGTGACTGCTCCTCCAGAGTTGAAGGAGGAGATAGTAAAGGCGAACGCCGGGATTTATGAGGATATTGAAAGAGTTGTAAATGAAGCCGGTATTAGTGGAAGAATGGAGGAGTTGAAGGCTGATATAGGAAAAGGCTTATCAAGTTCAGAAAGAAAGGGAAAGGGCAGAAGCAAAGAAAAAGGAGGAGATTCTTGCTGCTTTGGATGTAGAAGCACTAAAAGCAAAGGTTAAGAGTTTGACAGTGGAAGTAGGCCTTCCTAATGAAATTGATGCAGAAGGTAAGATTAGTAGTGCTGAAAATGGTAAATTTGTAATACCTTTTTCATGGTCCTCGAGATAATTTGTTACGGCGTTATGTAATTTTGTATTCGTGCATGTTTACATGATAGCTACAAATTAAGAAGCTATGTTACAATGATAGAGTATTTATCCTAGCGTTCGTGGTAAAAATTTAATAAAACCAATAATGATCACTCGATTTGAATACGTTACAATGATAGAGTATTTAGCCTAGCATCCATGGTAAAAAAAATTGATAAAGCCAATAATAGTCCCTCGAGTTGAATAAAAAAGAGAAAAACGTAGATTTTATGTAGTCCATTTAAAGTGAAATATCATTTCATCGAATTTAACTTCTCCTTCTGACAAGGAGAAAGCAAAACCTATGATGTTGTCCAAAGCAATTATTGTCCGATCTTCCCACACATATGGAAAGAAAAGAGAAAGGTGAGAAGGGTGATGTTGCTTAACTTGTTTATATGTGCAAAAGAATCTCAAATTGGAAACATGACAAAGCATTACTAATAATTTATTTTCTTCAATTATCCAACTTTTTGTATCTCTATAATTGTATATTTTATTTAATTAATGAAATCATTTTTGTCAACCAAAAGAGAGTGAAAAGACAACTTAGTCTTCTATCACACAAAAAAAATGATGGGCAATAATGTAATTTCATATGTCCAAATTTTACCTTTTTTTTTTATTGAAACCTACAGATTATGTTAAAATATCTCTAATATTTAAAATTTTGAAAAAAAATAAAAACCCAAAAACAAAAACCTCCCACTCCCCCCACGTTCTCTCCCTCTCTCCTTCTTATTTTCTAAAAAAATGTTCTCATACACACAAAGTATATAGGCAAATGCTAGTTGTATATTAAAAAAAAGAAGGGGGTCATATTGCTTAGTATTTGTATGTATTATTGATGGAAGAGACCTTGCTAACCATTTTCTCAAAATACCAAGCATGACCCCAATTTAACATTTTTACTTCTATTTATAACAGACAACTTTTAATATAAGCGGGGCTAAATAGTAATTTTACATTAAAACGAAAATTTAGCAAGCATGTCCCGATTTTGTTAGTATTAAAAAAAGGAACTCCACATTCTCCCCTTCTCATTTGATCTCTAATAAAAAGAAAAGAGAAAAATCTTCTCAAACACAATGTGAACGCCTTTGCTAGTTTATTTTACTAAGAGTTCGTTTAGACGTGCTTTTTAAAATGACTGAAAGCGATTTTGATGAAAATGTTTTTAAAACCATTCCTTAGTCAAAATCTAAGTGAATCTTGGAAAAGTACTTAAGTGTTTCCTGCCAGAAGCACATATCTGGTACTTCATCCAAAAAGTACGTAAAGTGCTTTTGGAACCCAAAATTAATTTCACCAAAATCACTTTCAGTTATTTTAAGCACTTCCAAATGAACTCTAAAAAGTTACTGTTACCATATGCAACATCTTTTGAAGGAGACCTTTAAGGAAATGGATCCCCATTTTTTCTCAAAAATGTGGATTAGTTTTGAAGTCCACACCACATCGAACTTCCATGATCTGAACCACCTATTTTCAAGTTGCACATCATAGATCATCCTTGCAAAATAATAGTCAAAACAAAAATATTTGAGACATCTAATTGAGTTCAAAGCAATTAACAACATTTTCTTCTATAAGAAACAACGTGATAATTAAATAGGCAAACGTTTTTGGATTGAAACGAATTTTTGCAAGGATGATATATGAATAGAGGCTTACAAAATAAACGGTTCAGATCATTGAAATTTAATATGAAGTGAGTCTCACAACTAATCCATATTTTGAAAAAAAAAAAAAAATCCCTTCTCTTAAAGGGCCTAAACGTTCAAATGTTGGTGATTCATCAATACCACTGCTACAATTAGAATCCTTGCAATGGGCATTAATCCTGAATAGCGACTGTATTATTAGGAATAGTAAGTCCAACAATATGAGGTCTCCAACAGGGCGTCGCTCATCAAACAATAACACACTATTAAGTGATGTAACCATCAATACGAGCAATCCAACTGGAAGCTCCCTAAATGGCATAACTTACCAAACGACTCATTATTGAGTGTTATGAGTCTATCTATATGACTGCTACAATTGGAAGCTCCCCAAATAATGTAATTTCATATAACGACACACATTGGATGTTGTAAGTCCATTAATGCGAGTGTGCAATTGGAAGCTCCCTAAGAGTAGTTCCATCATGGTCTTTTGCCCGATGGACTGGCATTAGAACAGGGCCGGATAGCCCGAGTGACTTGGTCCAATGTGTGCCAACCAGAGGAGAGGCCCGGCCCGAGGGAAAGACCTGGCACGAGTTACCAGCCCGAGAGCTCGAAGGCAACATGATGCAAGGCTGACGTTGCCCAAACGTCAACCACTTTTTTATTGCCGGAAAATGGCCTGCAAGGGTTGGAAGGATTCAAACTGAGCAAGAGCTCCAGAACCCACAAACTTGCCGGAGTTTGCTCCAAGGAGGTGACCAAAAACTGGGCAAGGTTTCAGATAAATTGCAGGGGTTAAAACTCTGGTTTCAAACTGGGAAAACACCACAAATCTTGTCCCAAGCAACATTAAGACATAATGAAACTAGATTTGCATAGAGAACCTCACCTGGGTTCGAGTTTTAGATCTTGAAGCTCTCGGCTTCAATGGTGGTTTACACCGTGATAGTCCGATGACGCATGCAATGGTATTGCTAGGATCCTTTAATCCCAGAGATTAAGGATTCATGGTTTTGGAGTTTGATTTGTTTAATTTTCGAAGAGGAAAGTGGGTGAAAGCTCTCGGAGCTCTAGAGAGGGTGAGAGTGTCGAAAGCTTAGAGAGAGAGAGAGAGGGAGGGAGAGAGGAACTTCAGAAAAATGAAGAGAAGTGAGAAAGATGAGTGAAAGTAAAATATTTTCCGGGAAAATGAAAAAAGTAAAATATTTTGTATTATTTTATAAATAAATAAAATACTATTATTTTATTGCCTATTACCAGGACTATTCAAGTGTAAGGGTGGAGATACAAAATGTAGTTACTGTTCATTAATGTCAGTTACTGTTTACTGGGTGGATTAAATAATAAACACGATGGAAGTGCTTTAAGAAATGTAACCCCGTAAATAATGACTCATGGTTGAATGTGAGTTCATATGGAGAGAGTAATATTTCTATGAACTAAAAAAAGGTAGTTTTGTAAGAGGACAATAATAATCAATTGTTTTTTATGAGATATATGATGAATGCTACGGTGAGAGTGAATAGTGAAACTCTACCAAAAAATGAAAAATTAGAGGTGGAAAAATACAAGTTGAATCTTTGTTTGGTTTAGTTTTTTCCTTAACTCTTAATCCTTATGATTTATTATAAATCCTAAATTGTGAGCTAAACATTGATCAACATAACAATTTTAGATATATTTTATTAATCAAATGCCAAACACTCCTTTCAAGTTTCATCTATATATAAAGTGAGAAGGTGAAAAATGTGAAAGTTTTTAATATCCTACAGTGCTCACTTTAATAGAGAAGAACATTGAACAATCATTCAAACAAAATAGGGACAAAATGATACCAAACTTTAATATTTATTATAAAATAGGAACAATCATCCAAACTTTAATATCTCTACTAATTAATAAAAGGGAAAATTAGAATCTCCTACAATTTTTCTATATCATTTAGATTAAACATCTGTACTTTTTTAAAATTTGATTAAAGTGCTTTGACCAATACTCACTTCTATATTTTTTAAATTAAAATAATTTTTGAATTTATCGTTTTATTTGCATGATGCACTTTTCCTTATTTAGTGGAGATAGTTAGTAATTAAACTATATTTTCTCTTCTTCCAAATATGTTTTTTCGATCACAGTTTTTTTTTTGTTATGCAAATATTTAATATTATTTCTTTTTCCAAATGGTTTTTTCATTTTCAAATAGTTGGTGATCAACATAAAAGCACCGTGTAATTTTTTTAATTTTTTTTTTAAGTATAGTTGTTGATGAATTATTATTAGTTACAATGCATTACGTATATATTATCTGCGGGTACGTTTGAATTTACAAAAATCATTAATTGGTATATTTATTTGTAATTTTGATACGTTTGATTTGATACATATTGTTAATATTGGTACATTATTTTTATTTTGTACACATTGTGCATTGGTACGTTTATGTTATTCTGAATCCTTTTCTCTTAACTTATTAAAAAAAAAACTTATTTCGGTACGTTTGATTTTGGGGGATTTAAAAATATTTTAAACTATTTTGGAAAGAAAATATCTTAAATCGTAGATAATTATTGCTAAATTGTAGCATTATTGTGAAAATAAATTGAATCTAACTAACTTTTTTTTTTTATTTTTACAATTATCTCTAATGGAGGAGAGTGTAATAAAAAAAAATAGATTATAGGAAATTTGTTACAATATAATATGCATATAACACCAAAATTATTACAAAAAAATAGTTTATTTAAATCACTAAAAGACATGAATGTTTGATTTAGAAAGTTCAAAATTGTGGCACTTATATCAAAAGATCAAAAAAACAGAAAAAAACAAAATAGAGTTCCTGATGTAATATAAGAAAACCGTGGGGGCCATTAAGCAAATAGAAACATATATGACGCCCTAGACCTTTAGCCAACAGCGGTTCGTCATCCTCTCTTCCTCTCTCTGGAGTTTTCACGTGTCTTCCATGGATTCCAAATCCAACAATTAGGTCTCAAATTCTCTCTCTTTCTCTGGAGATAAACAAACAAGCCCTTCAAATTTCACTAAGAGGCAGTCATTTCGCTCAAGATCCGTACAGTTACACCCCGATTTTCTTCACAATTTACCAAAACCCTAGCTTTGATTTCATTTATTCTCTTCGTTTTGTAGCAATTTTCCCCAATTTCGTTACCAAGCGGAGAAAACATTTTAAATTCGCGCTTGGTTTCGCCTTTTTGCGGTGACGATCTAGCCACCCAGAGAAACCCTAGTCCAGTTGTTTATTTATTTATTATTTTTCGCTTTTTTCTAGGTTTTCAGAATTTTTTAGGGTTTTAGGTTCTGAATCGCGGCGATGAACAGTAATAGAGGTAGGTACCCTCCGGGGATCGGAGCTGGGAGAGGCGGCGGCATGAATGCGAACCCTGCATTCCAGTCTCGGCCGCCGCATCAGCAGCAGTATGTACAGAGGAACCTTTTGCCGAACCATCATCACCAGCAGCAGTACTTTCAACAGCAGCAACAACACCAACAGCAACAGCAGCAACAACAGCAACAACAGCAACAGCAGTGGCTCAGGAGAGGCCAGTTGGGTGGGAGTACAAGTGCTGATTCGGCCGTTGATGAGGTGGAAAAGACCGTGCAGTCGGAAGCTGTTGACCCAAGGTGTGTGCGTTCTTTCGTATAATGCATGTTTTGTGTTATGGTTGGCTTTTATGCGTGGTTGGGAAAAATTGGTTCTGTAGGAATCTAGTTACGTTATTGTGCCATTTGGTGAAATGGGTTTTGTTATGGACATGGATAGTAATCGTAGCATTATGATTTTAAAAGTTCTGTACTTTTGTAGTTTGCTATGCTGTCGTGTAGCATAAGACATTGACAAATGTTCGAAAACATTCTGATTTTGGGAATGTAGGTAAGTTGCTTTCTCATCTGGTGTTAATGATGTGTTTTTAATTGATAAGCTTTTGACCTATCATGGATGTTACGATGTATGGAGGAACTTTCCGGATTCCTGTTCAGGTTCCATTTGTATGGGTATCAGATGTATCTTGTGCTCGAGCTTCCGATTTTAAGATAGGTCCCTTAAAGAAATCTGTTTTGTGCTTGTCTTTGGGTATTTAAGTTGTAGAAAGGTTAGAATGTTTTTGCAGTCTGGCATCAATTGAGGAGCGCCACAAATCTCCCTCAGTCTATTCCTAAGATAAGCGTGTAAGAAAGTATTGGTCACTTGTTCGATTGTACATGGATGTGTCTTCTCCTCTGGGGCAATCTTTCATTGCATTTCCTGATTTTTCTGATTGGTGTTAGCTTGTGCACTTGGGGATTAGTTTCCAAAATCTCCTGGTGTTAGTCCAGTAGTAGCACGAGCTGAGATAAGAGCCTCAGGAAGCATTTGCATTGTGTTTGATTCTCCATGGGTCTGTAGACTCTTGTGGGACCACCTTCCATTGTTTGTCCTCGTTGTAGATTGGAGTGTCTACACATGCCTTTGGAGACTAGTCGGGTTCAAGACTAAGATGCCCCTGAGTTAACAGAAAAAGAAATTAGTGAGGACCACAAGCACTGGCCTAGTTCTTTTCTGGATCCATCCATGATTGGATCCACACAAATAGTGATTATACTAATTAGTATTAATTACTAAACTATCTATTGGTTGCAAGATGGGGTGATTTATATAGGATAAACATGGAAAAACCAATTAGGATATGAGGGAATTTTTATTAGAGTAAAACCGCTAAAACTAGTACATCTGAGTCATTTGTGTTAAAAAGTTAGCTCTTTGGACCTGTTTCTTGGACTAAGATTCTTGATGATTCTGGTTGATATTGTAATTTAAGGTTCTGTACCTACGGTTTGGTTATTCAGTGTAAGTGAAGACTTGTTTTGCATTGTATTTGTTTTGGAGTACTGATAAATCATATGCTTAGGAGTTCTTGACATCGGAGTTGTTTCAATGTACCCCTTGAGTTAATGAATCATAATGGCAGTTTCAAATATCAAATTAAACTGTTTAGTTGTTGGTTTATAACTTTATATTATACCTATTGAAAAAGCTTTTCTTGGTAATATATTTTGTCATCAGTTATTTGTTAATATTATCTCATTTATTTATTTTTTTATCCCTGCAACATATTATAGTTATAAATCATACTCTACATGGTATCTTATTTTGGTTTCCTCTTTTACTTATCCTCTTTAGTTCACAAGATTGGAAAGCGAGATTAAAGATTCCAGCACCTGATACACGTTTCAGAACAGAGGTTTGTTATTTATTATTTGATATGCAATTCTTTATCATGTGTACCGTATTGTTAATGTGATACTTCACTCTAGATTTTGAAGAGCAAATCATTCAATTCCAGTTTTATGTGATTTTTAAAATAAAATGAAAAATCAAGTTGTTTAAGCTCACATCAAAGTTCAAACTCAATGAATGAATAATTTTTAAAACAATAGTTGTTTGTGATTTCCTATTCTAGTTACTAATGATTTCCTTCAGGATGTAACTGCAACAAAAGGAAATGAGTTTGAGGACTACTTTCTGAAACGTGAGCTGCTGATGGGAATATACGAGAAGGGATTTGAAAGACCATCTCCTATTCAGGAAGAAAGTATTCCAATTGCTTTAACTGGTAGTGATATTCTTGCTAGAGCTAAAAATGGAACGGGAAAGACAGCTGCTTTTTGCATCCCTGCTTTGGAAAAAATTGATCAAGATAACAATGTAATACAAGGTTTGTTCTCTACCATCGAATTGCATCTTCCTGCACATCTTAGGCTCAATCAAAAGATCAGACTGTTGGGGGCTTTTGTTTTAATGCTGCTTGATTGACTGTAGAAATCTTTGCTAAAAGGCTACCATTCTGGTATAGAAAGGCTGCCAATCTGCTAGGCAGCTGGATTATGATTTTGTTATAGAAACTGATTTTGTGTTGATATGTGCTTTATTATTGTACAGTTGTTATTCTTGTTCCAACTCGTGAGTTAGCTCTTCAAACGTCACAAGTCTGTAAGGAGCTAGGGAAGCATTTACAAATTCAAGTTATGGTTACAACCGGTGGTACCAGCTTAAAGGATGATATCATGCGTTTATATCAACCAGTTCACTTACTTGTTGGAACTCCTGGAAGGATTTTAGATCTTGCAAAGAAAGGTGTTTGCATCTTGAAAGAATGTTCTATGCTTGTTATGGATGAGGTAAATACATATCTAACTCCACTAATTTTACATAATATAAGAATTTTTCCCAACAATTGTTGGTTACATTCTGTCATCCTTGTTCTCTTTTGGGCACTATTAGTTTTAGGTTCCACTTTTAAGAACTATCATATAGTAGATATTTGATATAATTTTATGTTGAATTTCATACTCAGTGCATGATCAGTCTTTGTAGTGTATTAAATTTTTAGGTTAAATTTGTATCTTTAAGCTCGTGACGTTATTTGTTTTAACTAATCTGTGATTGACTTATTAGAAGCGTCTTGTAAGTGTGGTGGCCAGGTCATAGGCTTATTGGTATCGACATCTCTCCTGTAGAGGGCAGATACTAAGATCAGATTCCCCCTTAAGTGGAAGGGGTGAAATGTATCTTTAAGCTCGTGACATTATTTGTTTTAACTAATCTATGATTCACTTGTTAGAAGTGTCTTTTAAGTTTTTAAGTGTGGTGGCCAGGTCATATGCTGATCGGTATCTTTCTCTCTGCTGTAGAGGGGAGAGTACTAAGATCACATTCCCCCTTCAGTGGAAGGGGTGAAAATGTGGGTTGGCTTTAGCATCATGTGCTGAAACAATCTAATGATGTTTTTGTCAATGTTTGACAGGCTGATAAACTTTTGTCCCCTGAATTTCAACCTTCAGTAGAGCAGTTGATCCGCTTCTTACCTTCACATCGACAGATTTTGATGTTTTCAGCTACATTTCCTGTTACCGTCAAGGACTTTAAGGATAGGTATCTGCAAAAACCTTATGTTATCAATCTTATGGATGAGCTTACTCTAAAGGGTATTACACAATTTTATGCCTTTGTCGAGGAGAGACAGAAAGTCCACTGCCTAAACACCCTTTTCTCTAAGGTGTGATATGAACTGTAGTTACTTGTTTATTTGTTATCATTTACTTTTAACTTCACTTCATGCGGGGTTCATGGATGTGACGATGGGTCTGTTTTTTCAGCTTCAAATAAACCAGTCAATCATATTCTGTAATTCTGTGAATCGGGTAGAATTGTTGGCCAAGAAAATAACAGAACTCGGCTATTCGTGTTTTTATATCCATGCAAAGATGCTGCAAGACCATCGTAACAGAGTATTTCATGACTTCCGTAATGGTGCATGCAGAAATCTTGTTTGTACTGGTATGTTTTTTTGTTGTGCCTTATTCTCTTTGTACATGTCATTATTTTCAAATTTTTTATTTTTACTTTTGGAAATTAATATATATTCTATACTAGGAAGATCTGTTTATAACTATAGGTGGCCTTACTAAATATATGTATTTATTAGCATGTGGCTGATTATTTTTTGGTTGTATGTGGATAAGTACAATTTTTTTTTTTTTCCTGAGGTTTGCTGAGAGTACTTTTTCTAGACCATGAAGTTCTGATGGTTTTTAGCACTTGTGATGATATCAAAGAAATAGTGCATGTGATAAACTGTTTTATGACTCGTATTATACGTGGTTGGCTTGATCATTCTATTTCAGGATTTGTTCTTCTGTGTTCATGAGTTATTCCTCTTGTTTTAAGTGGCATTTCGTATGGTTGAAATTTTGACGTTTGTAATGAATGCTTTGGATACTTGATATTTTGGTTTAATCCTTTTCTATTTTGTTCTTTTTTCTTTTTGGGATCATAACTGCAGATCTTTTTACAAGAGGAATAGATATTCAAGCTGTTAATGTTGTCATTAACTTTGATTTTCCGAAGAACTCGGAGACATATCTTCACAGGGTGTGTAAGAAACAGTATCTGCAGAAATAGATAGAGTAGAAACTGATGCCGTATCTACACGATTTATTTCTTACTGTCTACTTTTTTGCTGTGTGTATGCATGTATCTCACATGCAGGTTGGTCGATCTGGAAGGTTTGGACACCTTGGTTTAGCTGTGAATTTGATCACCTATGAGGACCGTTTCAACTTGTATGTATATTTATATACCAAATCCAAATTTGCTGTATATAATGGGTTTTAAGAATGAGGAATGACTTAATTCATTCTTTCCTGCAGGTATAGAATTGAGCAAGAACTTGGCACTGAGATAAAGCAAATTCCTCCCCATATTGATCAGGCAATTTATTGCCGGTGATTGGTGGTAGAAAACGTTGGTGTGACGTCAATGATGGTAACGTCTGGGTCCATGATGCTTAAGAGCTAGATTTCTAACATTGCGTTTAAGCTTGCATGTCTTGTTCTATATCCAATTCTGTTATCGTCATGTTTACCATTTGCATTTTTAAATTCTCCTTTAGTGTATGCAATCTACTGTTGTATGATGTGTAATAAATAAGAGTGGGAGGGGCGGGGTGGAAACTAGTTTATGTAGATAATCTCGTGTATTCACTTTTCATAATATCAGAGTTGTCCACATGTTTACTCCTAGGGGTTTTATTCTTCCCCAACAAATTATTCTCCACACCTGGGTTTAATTAAAAATTTAGTGGTCTCTCTCTCTGTGCAAAATGTGACTTCTTTAGGAAAAAAAATCTTGCTCTAAATTCTTATAACCAAGTTCCAAAAATTTAAGAGATGATCTTTTCCAGGATGTTTTCTGGTAATAAGCTGCGATGTATCTGAGTTATTTTAGGTATTGGTGTTTGGAATAATTTATGGAGGAGTCACCTTCGAACTTGTCCATTTTGGGACTAAATTTTGTCCGCCCTTAGAATCGCTGGCAGGGAAGTTAGGACTTTGTCATTTGAAATAAGAATACTAATTATTCCTCCTGTCAAAGTGGGGGTGTGAAATGTGCTGCTGTTTATGATTATTTATTCATATTGTTGAATTTGAACAATGCAATTGGGAAACCTTCCTGGAACTTGATCAATTCATGCCCTACCAAATCTGCCATGTTTACTTGCGTAAAGTTCAGAGATGTGAAATATGAATCTAAGAACTACAAGTTACGAAATAATTTACGAGTACCTGCATAGACTATCAAAAGCTTTGTTTGATTCTGATGTTTTGGATAGATTATTTTACGCAATTGATAATGTGCTCTTTTTTCCTGTCTTTGTAGGGATGATGGGGTGCTCTCCATTCAAGAAGCTGTAGCTCTGGTGGTAGGAATACTCTGTGATGCATCGTCCCTTGAATTGTGTTTGTGTTCGTAGATCTGAAACTTTAATTGGGACCTTGAGAGTTCTTATGATTGGCCTATAGGTACCAAATAGATAATGGGTCCGGTTCAGAACTGCCGTTGTTTTTATTAACAGACTGGGTTTGTAATACTTGCTGAGTTGCTGGTGTTCGGGTTTGGCCACCGTTGAACTTCTCAAGGATAGCTTGTGCAAGCAGGGAAATGAAATCTCTGCTTCCTTCTGTGTTCTTTTGTTCTCGTCTGTTTTTCCGGTTTGTTAGCCTTGGTCAGCGTGTTCCATGCTTTGAAATAGTTTAATGTACCCGACTTTGTTGAATTTCTAGTTCCCTCTGTTTGCTGTTTCTGTCTTGTTTGTTTTTTTTTTTTTTGGGTCAAACGATAGATTTTGGCAAGTTAGGTGTTAGATTAGCCACTGACGGGATTTGAACTCATGTCATCATGCAAGGGTTCAACTCCTTAAAAGTCTTGAACTCCGATAATGATTTGTTGGCTCCTAGATTTCTTGTACATCCCTTGCACTATCCTTCCAACTCTTGGTCTTTTTTATCTCATATACTCTATGTATTTCTCCTCTATCACAAACATAAAAACTCAAAATAAAATAATTATCGAATGCCCTTTTGAGTTGGTATAAACCGTAAAAAACAAGCAATCGGTGATTTGAGATATACTGGGCTGTATGTTCTACTTGTTTTGACATTGAAATTGAATACTGCCCTGCAGGGTATGGTTGGAAGATCATAAAATGTAAAGTCTGTTTTTGTTAATGGATCAAGTCTTGATTGAACTATTTGAAGGAAATTTATTGAATCATGATAAATAATACACACAAAGGGGGACGAAAATGACCTAATTAACCCCCTCAAAGACGATCAAAATAACGCATTGCAAAAACATAAAGGCCCCTAAATTGTAACTTCAAATTGCACTTCTATCTGCTTCTTTTCCAGCTGAAAGGGAGCATGGCTTGCAAACGGTTGATGCACAAGCTAAAAAGATTGAGAAAAAAACATAGCATATATTAGTCACAAATTTAAAGACAATTAGTGAGGCCAAATTGATATTAATCATGATGGCAATGATGCAATGATGCAATGTCATTACACTATAGTTATGTGGAAGAGTACTTACAGTTTATCCATCAACCATTCTTCGTCGTCTTATCAACACCACCCTCACATAAAGCCAATCATACACACAGTTCAAGAACTTGTAGTATGTGTATCTCCATGACTTGATGAATATCAAACTCCCACAAATTCCCCAAAATCCAACAACAAATCCAAGCGCTAAACTCACATAAAATCCTGTTGTTATAAACCCATCCTTCTTTTCAACTTGATCTGGATGCTCCTCTGGTTGCTCCTCTGGACACTGTTGAAGTGGAATTCCACAAAGCAGAAGATTCCGATCAAAACTAGAGGGCTCATAATTTTGGAACTGAGACCCCATGGGAATTTTTCCAGATAGGTTGTTGTTTGACAAGTCCAAGACACCAAGACCATAAATCTGAAGAAGCCTTGGTGGAATTCCTCCATAAATTTGGTTGCTTGACAAATCGAGGGATTGTAGCGAAGCCAACTTCCCAATCTCTGGAGTTATTTGACCTGTTAAATTGTTTCTTGATAGGTTTAAAGAAACCAACCCAACAAGATCAGTGATTTCATTAGGAATCTCCCCAGCTATCCGATTGCTCGATAGATGAATACTCTTTACAAGCCCCAGAGTACTTTTGTATTTGGACATTGTGCGTTTCCATATCAAGGATACTTCGTCATCATAAGAAGCGTTTTGGTAAAAAGTCGTATCCGTACGACGGATGATGCCATTCTCATAACTGACTGGACCATGCTCACTGACGTTAACGCCATACTCATGCCTGACTGTTAGACTTAAATTTCCTATTTCAGCCAAATTAGTCAAATTGTTGAAGCATTTGGGTATGCTTCCGGAGATATTGTTTATCGAGAGATCCAAAATTTGAATGTGCTTCAGATTACACAACTGCAACGGAATGCTTCCATAGAAGTGATTAGAACGGAGGATAAGGATAGCCAACTTTGGAAGTCCAACCCCTAACCATTCAGGTATTAATCCTGATAAATTATTTTCTCCAACATCAATGACCACGAGCCTTGTACAATTCTTCAAGGATGAAGGCAATTCTCCAACAAATCCGTTCTTGTTCATCTTCAGTGTTTGAATTGAAAATAAAGAGCCCATTGTGGCAGGAATTTTCCCAAAGAGAGCATTGTAACTCAAATCTAGGAAGGCTAGTTGTTCAAAATGCATCCAACAATCAGGAAGTTCTTCATATAAATAATTGCTTGAGACATCAAGAAAGCCTAAATAACTAACCTTGACTGGACACAAGAAAGAAGTTAACTCTGAAAGCTTGTTGTTGGAGAGATCTAGAGATGACGCTTTGGAAAGGAATGAAGGGATTGGACCTTCCAATTGGTTCCAACTCAAATTCATGCTAGGATGGAAAGATGAGGGAAACTCAAATCTTGAATTTGGAATTTTTCCTCTAATTTGGTTGTTGGAGAGATCCATATCAATCAGAGGGAGATCCATACTAGTCAAAAAACCATCATGAGACAGCCTGTCCCAAAACCAACTTGAAGGATATCAGAAATTCCTGTATTTGAAATATCAAGAGAACAATAATTTTTCTGAGTTTGAAGCCATTTTGGAAAATGCGGACCTATTGTGCAAGATCGCAAATATATGAAATCCAATTGGAAAGGAGGAACCCAATTAGAATTGAAGTTTAAATTTAGTGAGTTGAAGGACAAATCCAAAGAAGTTAATTTGGAGAGATTGGAGAAGTGGCTTTCTGAAACCACCCCCTCTAGAGCATTCTTTCTAAGGTCGATATTCTCGAGCTTAGGCATTTGCCCAATACTTTCAGGTATTGTTCCACTCAATTGATTTCTAGAGAGAGATAATTCTTTCAATGATGAAAAGTTTGTGACATTAGGAATTGATCCAGAAAGAAGATTGTCTGAGAGGTCCAGAATCTCAAATGAGTTATGATCAGGGCATGTAGACATTAATGTTTGAACCAACCTGGAAAGCTGTCCACTCAAAGTGTTGTTGGAAAGTTTCAATGCTTGCAGATTACATAACCTGGAAAAAGATTGCGGAATCCCTCCTTCAATTTGGTTGTCAGAGAGGTCAAGATGAACAAGGCTGGCATTGTAGTTTGACAACCATAAAAATATTGAAGAAGTAAGTTGGTTGGAACTGAGGTCAACATGAGCAAGAGATTTTGAAGAATTTATGTTAAAAAAAGTACTGGAATGAATAAGAGGAGAATGAAGACCACAAAAAGACAATGACAATTTGGTAAGTTTAGGGAGCATATTAATTGCTTCTAACCAGTCAGAAGAATTACTGAGATTGCTCGAACTGAGACCCAAATAGATTAACGATGAAAGGCGAGGGAGCCATGAATTAAGATTTGCAACACTAGCAAAGTCATTGTGGATGAGATCGAGATATTGCAAGTGAGTAAGATTTCCAACCTGACTTGATATTCGACCACCAAGAGAATGGTCCTGGAGATCAAGTTTGACAACGTGACCGGTATATTCATCACAATAGACTCCTTTCCACGATGCACAACAATCTTGTTTTTGGGCTTCGCTTCCCCACGAAGAGAGGAGATTGTTGCTATCCACGAGGCCTTGTTTGAAAGCAAGGAGTGCTTCCCTTTCCCTGTCTATGCACCTCATCATCTTCGGCACCTTAGCAATATCCCTGTGGCCAGCCCCTCCTGAAGAAATATTGACTTCAAAGGATAGGGAAAGGTTGCAACATTGAAACAAAATTAGGACCACAATTATTGAAGCATGAAATAGTTTGAAGCACCTATTTCCTTCACCCTGCATCTTAACAACAATGAAGAAGAAAAAGTATTTTAGCTCCGTTATTGAAAACTGGAAAGCAATTTGGAAGAAGATTGCAACATTGCAAGTATATATATACACATAAAATCACCTCTTACACAAGAAAAGTATGCATTACAGTTGTAGTAGTTAAAGCAAAGTTAATTGTTCGGAAAGGACGTGATTGATGTACAAAATACTGTAAATTAAGAAGCAAAATCTGCTTTTAAACGTAAACTAGGCCCTCTCTTTCTTTGTCAATATCATTCAATAACACTGATGTGTGGAAAATGCAAATAAAAATCAAACAAATCTACCAATATACAAGTAAAACAGATCACAGTATTAACTTGACTTACTTTTATAGCTAGAAATTAAATTAGATGAGAGAGAATTTCGCACTTCATTTTTTTCTAAGCAAACCTCGGTTTAGACAAAGACAACTGGAGTGGCTAGTTATTCACTTGACTTACTAATTGAATAATCCATAATTATCGTGGTAACTACTTGATGTTAACCAAAAAAAAAAAAATTTCCAAATCAGAAAAATCGTATTTTCTTCTTCATCTTTTTGTTTGTGGACAGAATAGGAAGCCATTGGATTGGAGAAATTAATGGACAAAAAGTCTATGGTAATGACTTGACTTACTGTTCCTTGTAGAAATTTAGTTACACAACCCAACTGGGGGTATTGACTTGACTTGCTAATTCAATTAATGAAACGGGATGCTAAGATGCCTGTGCCAAAAAAAAAAAAATCATGCAACGCGGGCCGTGTGGAAAACTTAAAATATCACACGCGTTGGAGGGCCGATTCCACAACAGCGCGGGAAGGCCGATTCCATCATACGCTCTCACTGTTAATGTATTCAGTATTGGTTGAAATATTTGTCTTATTTTCTCTGTAACTTAGATTAATTATTTCTTGTAAGTTCTCAAGGAATTTATTGAAAATGATAGAATGATACACTATTAAAAGTGGATAAAAAGGACCTAGCCACTCAAAGATAACATCGATCTGTGCAAAACAAAAAAGGCCACAAGATTAAGAAGCAAAATATCAGCCCCAACTAGGCCCTAGCTTTCTCTTCAATATCATTCCATTAATTGCGCTGACCTATTTGAAAAAAAAAATTTAGATTAAACATATCAACCCAAAATCTAAGAGAACTTTAACGAAAAGCTTCCGGTACTATTTACTTTAACGAAAGACCACAATTTTACATTAAAAAATCAATCCTGGTACTATTCAATTTACCCTTTATTTTGTCTTTATCGTTAAAACTCAAAATGTTCAAACAATTTTCATTAGTTTTCCTAAAAACTAATAAAAGGGGCCACAATTTAGATAGGAGATGGCTTCCGCACTTTCAAAAGGGGGATAAAACGGTTGTGCGGAAATCTCACTTCATAAGTTAGACAAATATAATTCGAGTTTCAGTTATTCACTTAACTTCCTAATTGAATAATTCGTAAAGATAGCGGTAAGTACATAGTAATGATGTTAATAAACATCCAAATCAAAAATCATATTTTTTTCATCTTCTTTTTCTTTGTGGACCAAGTGTCTTTTGAAGTGACTTGACTTAATGCTCCAAGAAATTCAATTACACAACCCAAATGACCGGGTATTGACTTGACTTGCTAATTTAATTAATGAAAAAGGATGCTAAGATGTCTGTGTCCAAACACTTACGCGACGTCTGCCGTGTGGAAAACTTAAAACACGTGATGTCATGCTGATGATCCAGGACGCGATTTTGGCATCAGGTGTGTAAGTGAGTCATTCCCCCGAATAGGAAGCCATTGTGTTGGGGAATTCATTAATGGACCAATTTGGTATGCAGTGACCGTAGCTTCACTACCGGACAATTTTTCTGGCATTGAAATCTTGTGCAAATTTCAAGGAACTAAACAGTAAACTCTGAGACGAAGTGATTGAGTGTGAAGGTTGAATAATAGCTCCAAGGCTTCCGAGACCCAAATATGTGTATCCGACCTTGGTTGAATTATGTCTTCTTTTTTCGGTAACTTGATTAATAATTTTTTGTAAGTTTCTAAGGAAATTTATTGGAAAAGATATGAAATTATTCAACAAAAAGAGCAAGGAAAAATAATGGACGTCATTGTGTACCTGTAATGGGGAAATTAATGGACCTTTGGTAGCAACCCTTCACTACCAACGACTTCTCTTTTCTTCTAGCATTGGCTGAAGCATTGTTTTTAACATAATATTAAGGTTATTGTCAACAAAAGCACGGGAAGACAGACCGATTCCATTACGCTCACAAATCTCAATGTTAATGTACCCAATCTTGGTTGAATTATTTGTCTTCTTTATTAACGATTTCTTGTAAATTTTCTCAGGAAATTTATTAAAAAATATAAAATAATACACTGTTAAAATGGGACAAAATGATATTGGCTTCAACGTAAACTGGGCCCTAGCTTCCTCAGTCAATATCTTCCATTATTTGCCCTGCTGTATTTGAACAAAAAAAATTAAAATTAAAATTAAACATGATCAACCAAAAAACTGATAAAAGGGCCACAAAATTGACATGACTTCCTGTTTGTGGTTAGAAAAAAAATTAGAAGGGAGATGGTTTCTGCATTTTTTTTTTCTTTCAAAACCTCACTTGTACGAGGGGAATCTTAATGGCTTATGCAATTTCATTTTTTTTCTGATAAGAAAACATCATAAAAGTAAAATTAAAACGAATTTTAGCCCATGCTAATTAGAGCTTATCCTTGAGACCTAATTTTCTGATATGATTCTTCTCACCAAGGAGGAAAATATATAATGTACAAGAGTGATTTACAAGGAAAAAAAGAAACATCAAATAACCTAATTACAGTCCGATTACAAGGACTCAAATAGGTAACTAAACTAATTACAAAATGTCAACTCTCCAACACTCTCCCTCAAGTTAGTGCATAAATGTTGTTCCTGCCCAACTTGACAAGAGAGTTGTAGAACGCTTGACTTGCAACAGCTTTAGTGAAGATATCCGCTAATTGATCCTCTGACTTTACGAATGAGAATTGAATAATATTCCCATCCAACTTCTCCTTAATGAAGTGTCTGTCAACTTCCACGTGTTTTGTGCGATCATGTTGAATCGGGTTGTGTCAGATATCGATAGCTGCTTTATTATCATAAAATAAATCTGAGGCTGAATTCGAAGGATACCCGATTTCACCAAGTAACCTTCGAAGCCATAATAGTTCACATACTCCTTTTGCCATACCCCTGTATTCCGCCTCTGCACTTGATAAAGCAACCATTTTTTGTTTCTTACTCCGCCAAGTCACTAAGTTTCCTCCCACAAATGTAAAGTAACCAGATGTGGACCGACGATCAGTAACGTTGTCTGCCCAATCTGCATCAGTGTAACCTTCTATTCGGCAATGATGATTTTTGGAACATATGATGCCTCTACCCGGTGAGGACTTTAGGTATCGTAGGATGCGTTCAACTGCACCCATATGTGCCTCACTCGGAGAATGCATAAATTGACTAACAACACTTATTGCGTATGCAATATCAGGCCTGGTGTGAGATAAATAAATTAACCTCCCAACTAACCTTTGATAACAATCTCTGTTAGTGGGAACTTGATCAAGGTGCACGGCAAGATGGTGATTTTGAACTATAGGGGTGTCAGCCGGTTTACAATCAAGCATTCCGGTTTCAGCTAATAAGTCTAGAACATATTTTCTTTGAGAAATAAATATACCCTGTTTAGATCGAGCTACTTCTATCCCCAAGAAATATTTCAAACCACTAAGATCTTTCATCTCGAACTCGGTTGCTAGGTAATCTTTGAGCCTTGAGATTTCCTCTTTGTCATCATCGGTAACAATCATATCGTCCACACAGATGATAAGTGCCGTCAATTTTCCCATTCGACGTTTCAAGAAAAGTGTATGATCAGAATTGCTCTGCCCGAACCCATATTTCCTCATAGCCATCCGGAACCTACCAAACCATGCTCAAGGTGATTGTTTCAACCCATACAACACTTTATTCAACTTGCACACTACTCTGGGTTGTAAAACTGATGCATAACCAGGTGGAATATCCATATACACTTCTTCCTTAAGATTACCATGTAAGAAAGCATTTTTCACATCAAATTGCTGTAATGGCCAATCTAAGTTGGCCGCTAATGAAAACAATACTCTTACCGTATTAATCTTTGCTACCGGGGAAAATGTCTCTGTATAATTAACACCATATGTTTGAGTGTATCCCTTGGCCACCAATTGTGCTTTGTATCGTTCAACAAACCCATCAGCTTTGTACTTGATGGTGTACACCCATCGACACCCAACTATCTTCTTTCATCAGGGAAGTGGAACTAAATCCAACGTTTGATTTTTCTGGAGTGCAGCCATTTCTTCCTCCATTGCCTTGGTCCATTGATCGTCAGATAGTGCCTCATTCAATGAACTTGGTGTGCTATCATTGGATATTTGTTGTACAAAAGCTTTGTCGGGTTCTGATAACTTCTGTGATGACACATAGTTGGCAATGGGGTATTTAGAGCCTTTCGTTGTGTCCGGTGAATATCGATTGGATGGCTTTCCCCAGTTGTGCCTGAAAGGTAATTAATAATTCAGAACAACGGTATCATCAACAGGGATAGTAGAGCTTACCTTAGGAATATTCTCAGGAATATGGTCATCTGGTGGTACTATATTCGGAGACAATGGGGGAGTAGTATCAGTAGAAGTCTCAAAGTTGACAAGTGGCAGCACTGTTGCCGTGGGTGAGGACGACATTGCCTTGCCTGCCATTGATTCTATAGGCAGCACTACGGCTGCTGTTGGCTGAGCTGGTAGCGCAACCACTATAGACTCGACTAGTGGTAGCGGAAGATCAATACTATCATTCATGGTCCAATCCTTCTCGTTATGCCATGTCTCCCCCTGATGAAGATGATTGGAAGAATCCGAAGGGTAATACATCTCATACTCAAAAAAGTGACATCCATAGTAACATACATTTGACGGGAATGAGGGTGGTAACAACAATACCCTTTTTAATGGAGTCCGTACCCCATTAAAATAAAATGGAGAGCACACGGTTCAAGTTTCGTTCGTTGATTTTTATGAAGATCAACAAATGCAACACATACAAAAACCCGAGGTGGGAGTACCAAAACCGACGATAGATGCACGAAGGTAGCAAGGACTTGTAAGGGAGTAAGAAAATCCAAGACTTTAGATGGCAGACGGTTGATCAGATAAGTGGCGGTCTAAAGAGCAACATCCTAAGAAGAACGGGGAACAGACACCCTAATCAAGAGTGAGCGAGCCGTTTCTAAGAGATGACGATTTTTGCGCTCAGCCACCCCGTTTAGTTGAGGAGTCTGAAGACAAGTAGTTTCATGAAGAATTCCATAATTAGTTAAATAATGGGAAAAATCATTATTAACATATTCACCACCATTATCAAAATTCAAAATCCGTATTTTAGTAGAAAACTGTGTCTGAACCATGGTGTGGAAGGTCTTAAAAGTCGAAAAAACATTACTTTTATGCTTAAGAAGATATAACCATGTCATCCGTGTGCAATCATTTATGAACATTACAAACCATCGAATACCAAATGAAGTAGTAATTGGAGATGGTCCCTAGACATCCGAATGAACAAGACCAAAAGGAATAACACTTTTATTAGAATTCAGCGGATAAGAAACATGGTGACTTTTGGCGAGTATTCAAGTGTCACATTTAAAGTCTGAAACTGAACAACCAACAAATAAATCCAGAAACATATGCTGCAAATAACTGAAAGATGGATGACCTAAACGGTGATGCCATAACCATATCTGACGCCTCTTGTGATCAACAACTCCTTGGGCAAGAGTGACCCGTCCTGTAGTGACATCATCCACAAAATAGAGATCCCCCATCTTAGTACCATGACCAATTATCTCCTTTATGAGAATATCCTGTATAAGACAAAACTTTGGATACATTAGCACACAACAGTTCAATTGTTCAGTAGCTTGGCTAGAAGACATCAATTTATGCTTTAATGAAGGTACAAGTAATGTATGAGGCAAAATGAGAGTGGGTTTGAGGAGCACGATGCCAGCGCCAGTTATCGGTGAGGTGCCTCTATTAGCATTAGTAATATTATGTCGGAGTGGAACAGTATCACAAGCTAAATCAGTGGGATCATAAGTCATATGGTCTGTGGCACCGGAGTCAATGATCCATCCGGATGGAGTAACATCACTATTCATATTAAAAACATACCACAGTTACCTGAGGACTCCAAAGACATGTTGGAAGAACTCGAAATCGGAGGAGGATCATCTTGAGATATCAAAGATAATTGGGACATAGAGGTGGCGAGATTGGCTTGTCCAAGCTTGGCTTGCTCGTCTTGTTCCCGTTGTTTCTAAAGCTTCAACGGTTCACACCAGTCAGGATAACCATGTAATTGAAAGCAATTATCACGGCCATACTTCTCACTACCGCAGTTAGTACAACCACCAGCCGGGACAGGTGGTTTAGGACGACGAGGACTGGGACTCGTGGTGGGCCGTGAGGCCAGCTTAGCAGCAAAGAGTGAGCCCTGTGCTAGGCTCAGGGTAGTAGCCTGGGGTTACAGTCCTAGGCTCAGTGCAAGTGATTTATCGGGGCCACAGGGACAAGGTGGAACTACGACTTGTGTGGTAGGCTAAGCCCCCATGGCTGCCCCACTTGGCAGCTGTCCTCCGGTATTCATCACAGCTTGCCGCATTCCCTCCCGGCGAACATAGGCAAAAGTTTGTTTGAAGGAAAGAAGGGGCTCAGTTCGTAGAATATCACTACGAATTTTATCAAACATCTCATCCAATCTTGCAAGCAAAGTGTACACATGATCCGTTTGAACAATTTTACTAAAAATTTCAATATCAGTACTGCACTTCATCTGATTAGGTCGACGATAATCAATCACCTGCCACAAAGATTGAAGATCATTATAGTATGTCTTCACCGATCGTTCATCTTGCCTCATGTGAGAGGCCTTGCAGGTAAGATCATATACTTGAGATATATCGGAGCAGTCATAATATGTGTGAGCAACCACGTCCCACACTTCCTTTGTTATCGGTAGTTGAAGAAAGTACCCAATCAAATTGGGTTCCATAGAGTTTATGAGCCAACCCTTCACAATAGCGTTCTCTGTATGCCATTTGGTGAAAGCCGGATCGTCGATAGGTAGTTGGGGATTACTCCCAAACAAGTACCCAACTTGCCTTTTCCAGCAACAAATATCTCAACAATCTGAGACCAAACTCCATAATTGGCACCATTGAGTTTGATGCCAATCGAAGCAGTAGGCGAATCATGATGGACAATATGTGTAACAACATGCGGTATAGGTAGGGTAGGATTCATGGTAGGGTCGGTTAGGATAGTAGTGTTTAGGGTTGTAGTGTTTAGTGTAGGAGCAGAATCGGTTAGGATGAGGTTGTTTCCACCATGGAGTGGTGGTAGGTTCTCCATGGGAGGGCCGAGTTTGCTTGAGGGAACGGGCATAGCAGAAATCCTAGGATCTCTGCTTTGATACCATGCTAATTAGAGCTTATCTTTGGGGCTTAATTTTCTGATATGATTCTTCTCACCAAGGAGGAAAATATATAATGTACAAGAGTGATTCACAAGGAAAGAAAGAAACATCAAATTTACAAGGACTCAAATAGGCAACTAAACTAATTACAAAAGTCAACTCTCCAACAAAGCATAAGATGGCACACCCACTTATAAGACAAATTTCTTTTTCATACCAAACGACAGTTAAAAATCATCGTTTATGACCTTTTGGAATTGAATTCTATATGACCTTTTGGAATTGAATTCTAACTTCTAAAGCGTAACATTGATTGCTTTAGTCCGGTTGTTACAAATGTTTTATGTATATCAGTTGATCCTTGAGAAAATCATCTTAGTTACAACTTCGTAAACATGTGTTTCCTCTACAACTATGACAAATAAAGTAAAGAGGTTTTCTAAGTTATTACTGTACTAATCTGTCACAAAATTACTTTGTTTCCTAGTTTCGTTTATTGAGAGGAGGGCTGCAGATGGACGTTCCGGCATGGCCTCTCCAGTTCTCCTCTTTTCCACAGAAGTTTGATATCCCCTCTCATGTGTCCCAAAGTCAAAAAGGTACCTGCAGAAATGCGGCTAGCTTATGTCAATGGATGCTCATGGATTCTGTTTACAAGTGAACATTAAGCGCGAAACCTAATTCCATTCCAGTGAGCACTAGCAACATAGAGGTTAGTGCAGATTAAACAAGCGTGTGTTTTACCAAGTGTGAACGGAACTATATGTAAGAACAAGTTTATAACACCTTATCCAAGAATCAATAATTCATCCAATTGAATCACAACTAATTTAAGCTTTGCATTTAAACAGACTTAAGAATCAAACCCTTAGAACATACCTGCATTGTTCAATCCTGATGAAGAAGCCATTGCAGCCTCTGTGTTTGAAACCTTCTCCTCTTTTACGATGACAATAGCTTCTCTAATCAATAGGTCTTAGAACAACACAAGCTAGTATCACAAGAGCAGTGGTTTGAACCATATATAGTACTCCTCTGTCCATTCCTTATCAGAATTGGACTAGGATTCAAAGTTATACAAACCATAAAGATTTATGGGACCTTATAAAGTTCCAACACTAAGTTCTTTTCCAAAACCAACTGGAACTTCTCACAAGACTGCATTCCTTATAAGATTTAGACTTCTTTATAATATCAATTATCCCAAAACTTATAAGAATCATACTCATATTCTTACACTATATACTGTTGAAACTTACTTTTTGATCAAACCAAACCAATAACAAGAAAACATGAACAACGGAAGCACACCTTCTGATTGAATAAAGGAATACAAGAAAACTCACACATACAAATAGTTTTCTTGTCTCATAAGTCTCTTACACACTATATCCACACT